GTATAATAATATTTAAGAATTTAAATATTATTTTCATTTGTTTTAATTCTCCGATATATGACACGTAGGCATTATAAAGACTAAAAAAGAGTTTGTATAGAAACTCGAAAAGAAATATTTTCAAAGTATTATCCGAATAACTGGAAGTGAATTACATATAATATTATTCATATAAACAGTATAAATATTGTTACCCCTTCTGTATAAATCCATAGCTGTTTCTTTTCCAATACCACAATTGGCACCTGTTATAATAACAGTTTTTCCGTCTAAACGAACATTGCTCCTGCAATAATTACTAAAAAACAACATATTTGAAACTATTTTTTCTTACTGATTCTGAGAATATCACAGAAAACAACTTAATTATTAGATTTTGATTCACTTCTCACGAACAACGCAATCAACCTTTTACTTCTTACTACCTCCTTACTTCTTAGTTCCATTCACTTCTTGTATTTGTTAATTCCACCGTACGGTTTCACCGTAATTCTATCTTAAAATAGTGGGGTATAAAATAGAGGTTGTTTAGCCCCTGTATGTTTGCACTTTTTATATAAATATTTATTACAAGTAAGCAGGTTACCACTATGAACAATTGCGTTTAAGATGGCTTAACACAAAATTTTTGATACGTACAAAACAGCATCTACTCGTTTTAAGAAAATTAAATATTACAGCTGGGTACACTATTATTTACTTCTGAAGGAGCTAATAAGACTTAAAGATTTTTTAAACTTTCATCGCTTTCTGCTGAATAGCAATTTCCAAATCGTGAAACATTTTTTCTCACTTACACGCACATGATTAACGTGTATGGCGTATGGATGAACTGTTAGGCATATTTTATTGTCGTACTATCTACTTGACCGTTGATGGACAAAATTGCGAGGCGTGGACAGTGTGATTTGGAACACACTTAACAAAACATTGAATGATTAGATACATCAAGACTAACGAATTTCTCAACCGAGAATCGCACGAGCCCCACTATCAGTGAGCCGATTCCGAAACTAAATAGTCACTCCATTTTAACTGATACTGAAGCGGGAGCTGCGTATAGTTCACGAGCTGTCAATTCTATACTTTTGTTTGCCAAATGCAAATTGCATGCGTTCACCAATCTTTTGTGTTGTCATTTTTCAAGATAAAAAAGCAATCGTATTACGATGAGAAACGTTCGAATCTCGCGTAACGATTCGGAAACAAAGGCTTCTGTTTTCCGTGAAATCTTTATATAACCGTTATTAGTGAATTGCTGAATACATAATATCATACAAATGCAATGAAATATAAAAATAAATAATAGTATTATGACAATATGTATAATTAAAAGCAGTTTTAATAAGGTTATACATATTTAGAAACTCGATTTCGTCGAAAATCCTAAATTAATTCATTGGCAATATGTAGTGGTATGACAATTGTATACCTTCGTTATTTTTTATAGCAGGCAAATGGAAAATTATAAAAAATTTGTACAGTAAAAACTAAAGATTAGTGTTTTTGCAATCAATTTTTTAAATTCGCTTACTATTTTGAATATTTATTACAAAATTTGTGAACACTTTAGTCTATAATAGACAACAACGCAAATGTAAGATCTAATAATAACTTATGATTGTAAAAAGTTAAATGAATGTTCAAAAAGGTTAAAACCACGTACATTCGAATTTCAATATTGAAATACGAAATAAATAAAAAAAAAAAATTAAACTTTACTAAATACGACGCAGGTTTGCATCACGGATTTTTCATACCCAGGATATTACAAGAAAGTAAAAAAAAAATATATATTATAGAAAAAAATTGTTCCACTTAGACCATTTCTCGATCTGTAGTAAACCTTACCAAGATACTACAACAGATAGGTTTACCAACCCCAACTTTAAGGACAGTTTTCACCTCTTCAATAGTGACACATATCACAAATGTTCATAGAAAGTTCATAAACATTAATTAAGCGATCATATACATGACTAAAAACCGTAACGAATTCAGAAAAAAGCTATTCTGTCATTGCGAAATGGTTTACCTTGTGCAGAAGTTCTATAAAAGACACTGTGTGTATAATGTAATTTAGAGAAAATATTTTCGAAATAGCTTAGGAATATCAAGAAGGTGGTCAACAATTTATTCAATACTTTTCCGTCAAGGCTCAGGGCCCTCTGAAATTAAAATTTATGACGTCTGTCGTCGACCAACCGTACGACTTCGGCATATAATTTACACTTTCTACCTGAGTTGTAGCGTAATGTGACATAGGAAAGGCAACAGTGTCTTTTCTAAAATTTTTGCAAAGGCAGAACTGTTTTATCAACAACGATTTTCTCGTATTTTTAGTTATTTATAAGCCGATTAATCAATGAGTGTGGTTTTTTCTTTGGACATTCAGGATATATGATATCTTTCGATATTGAAACAATTGTGATTCGTCGACAATCGCTATTCATACATACTTTTTATATGATTTCTAGGGGTACGGTTAAGTACTAGTAAAGTCATAAATTATTTCTAACTGGTTTTAATATGCATTTGTAGACTTCTACTGAAGGCCGTTGTAATGTTTAATTCAACTTTTTTTTTTTGTGAAATGTCATAATTGGTTTTCATGCTTCAATGGTTTTGTAAACCACTAATCAACCTTGTAAACCACCTTCGCCTTGGCCCCTATACTATGGGCTGCCTATATTTGCCGATACTATGCGGATTATTGGTCCCCATATTAACTTTTAATTCTTTATAATTACAATCACTATTTAAAATTTCTCCCACCTGTTGCTAGATACAGAAAAAAATACTTATATCAGTTATTAAATAAATTTACCATTAAACCATGTTATTGTCGTGAGATATAGTGAGTAAGTAAAATTTCTTAATTGGATTTACTATAAATATATAATCACATCAAAAACATGTGTACCTTATACAATTCTCGTATATATTTATTACAGTCGTATTAAGTGTGATTAATATTTCAATGATTATACTGATAAAGATTATACGTACGCGTTTCCGAATAATCGTAGCGAGAAACTCCAAAGAAATTGATAAAAACTAAAAAGTTGCACGAATACCAAATATATATTATTCATATATATTATTCATTATTCGTTATACGAATATAGTAACACGAGGTTAGAATAACGGAAACCTTTTATTTTCAAAATCACACCTCGGATTGTAACTTTAGTAAAATGATCTTGTAAAATGTATAACACTTTTTCCTTTAACTGCGACGAAGAATTTTTAAATATTAACAAAAGAATATTTCCAATGACAAATTGTAGTTGCATACAAAGAAAGAATTACGTTCATATTTGATTGTAGTAACAATTTCAGATATACCTACTTCTGAATAATCTCTATATTATTATAATTTATTTCGCATCAGCAATTATTGAATTTTAATGTACATTACAACGCTGCAAAATATTTTAATTAAAATCTTAAAGAGAAACAAAAAAAAGCTTGTAATCATTTGTTTCAAGTACTATAATAAAATATGTTATTACTAATCTGTAGTTTCGTGTAGTACAATTATACACGTTATATTTATAGAATAGAATTGAAAAGAAAATTTAATTTGCACAAAGAGAATTATGTATTATAAATGTATTATCAAGTAATATAAATATATTTATTTATTATTGAATTTCACATCTTATTTATCCACTGTGTTGAACTAAAGTCTACGAAAGATACGATCCCTCACGGCGAACTTTATTCGAGAACTTTACCAGACAACAGAACCCATCAATAAGATGTTTTATCGCTGATACATGAAATTCAAGCGAGGGTCTGAAGCACATTGAAATTCGACGATGACCTGAACAGGGAACGAATGGAGTAAGGTAAAAAGGAGATAATGAAATGAGAAGGAGAGAACACGCACGGTTACGAAACGTCCAGATGTATAGTCTTGGGTAGCTACTTTACTCCTGAATCGTTCTTAAATATTTTTCATTAATATTTGTGATACTTTGAATTTTTGCCTTATATGATTGTGTAAGTGCATAATGTATACACAGTTGAGAAAGTGCAGTGAACCTCTAACGAGGAAAAAGCTATATATCAAATTTTACTCTGATAAATTTGCGAAGTGTAAGATCGAAACAAATGAAGTTCAGCCAAAACCTTTTAGTGATATTCCTGGACCAAAATCTTTGCCTGTTATTGGAACTCTTTACAAATATCTACCATTGATTGGTGAGCAAATCAGTTTTCATTTAACTCAAATTTTCCACACATAAACAATATATAGAAATTTATAGAAATTTTATAACGTACTGTCAATAATTCAAATAAATAAAAGCATGTTGAGCAGAAGATATACATTTTAAACTTATACATTGTACGATATAAACAAAAAAATTATACAGGAAACAATATAGTTGATATTAGAATATTAAAACACATTTATACTGTGCGTATAATGTATCGTTTTTTCAATATCATCGTCCCGTTTCATAATTAAGCAATAT